AATTCCTTCAGTACTTTTCCTAGACACATACTGAGGTTCCACAATTCCAGTCTTGTATCAACCTCTTACTGCTGAGTCTAGAGCAAACTTTGTGAGAAAGGTTAAAGGAAAAAAACCGAAGGCTTCATCACATATCTCTTACACATGAATAAGCTTAACAAACTTCATCTCCAAAAACTTGAGACAGTTCCTAACCCTTGACAACAAGGCCCATCCGCTCATCAGAGTAGATGCCGACTAAGATATCTCAATAGTTCTTTCCGAGGCTGTATTTATAAGATCAACGAAGCTCAAGACATCATAATCAAGAAAAGTTATTCAAGACCAAACGTGGACACTAGACCACGTTCATTTCCATTATAAGAGTAAGGATAAATGATTTGGTAAGACGGCAACTTCTAGTACCTTGCAAACTTAGTTGACTATTGAAGTGTTTGTTATCCTCCAGAACACTCATGGTGTACGAAAAGCTAATTAGAAGTAGCCAAGTGGAATATACATTTGTAAGTTCTTTACTGTACATGTCTTTGTGTTGCGTCATGTGACGTGAGGAGTTGACATTCCATAATCATGCATCCAAATCTTTCCGCTGAGGTATCACCTAGAAATTAAAAGTCTTGGATTTCTCAACCTCTGCACAGTCTAGTCACTAGAGATCCGACGTACTAGCATTCACTTGTCTTCTTCACACAAGTACCCCTATAAATAGACTCCATACCCTGAGTCTATCCATATGCATTCACTTTGCAAGGTGATTTCCTCTGCTAGTTCTCAGCTTAAGCTCAAATCTCTTTGATGTTCAGAGAACCCGAGTTCTCCCGATTCTTTCACGAAGATCTTGCACAGAATGGTTTCAACAAGAACCTTCTGTCTGGTTCTGGCTCTCATGCTTGTAGCTACGCACTATCAGGTTGCAATCGAAGCTCTCCCACCCCGACAGATGTTGGAAAGTCCAGGGGCGGTTCAGTGCCCGTGCAAAGCAACTTTTTGTGGAAGCAATAGATGCCTCTGCGACCAGAACTGTTATTGTAAATGCTCATAGTCGCAAGACAGAAATTCTATACTTTCAATTTTAGACGTGACCTATGAACCATGAACTTCACGCAGCGCAAGGTTCGTGTTCATTTGAACATTACTAGCAAGTTTCATTGAGTGCAGTTGGGATTGGCTTGGTGCTTTACAATGAATAAGCAGTGAGGAGGACATTTAGGAACCTTCAAAACTGGTTTTCAAGTTTGCAAGTTATACTTTCGACCGCACCTTGGCTCGTTTATAAATCAGATGTAAGTTTCTAGAAACTGAATATCATTGTAAGGAATGCTACGTGTGTGCGCTCTGTGTTAGAAAAGGTTTCTTGATCATCAGTGATCGCACTGAATCTTGTAACCTGCTTTCGAGCCCAAATTAATGATATGTCATCCATATGCAGTACTGACTAAGATAAACGTATTCAGCATCCACGACTGCACTTATCACATACACACGTCTACATAAGCCTCATCTTCACAATCAAGTATTCACTTGCTTAAAGTCCATTAAACCTTGGTTTGAACGAACTAAATCCGATATGAGTGCGACCGATCTAGAATATGCACTCCACATGAAAGCAGAGTATCTTTGCCAGAAAACTTTGCTAGAAAACTGGTTGTATAGTTCGGACAAGTTTTTATGCAACACTTCGCACGGATTTGAAGAGATACAGTTTTTAATTCTGTAGACCGTCCTGGTTGTGTGCTGAAATAGATTTATACTTGCTTGAATGCATGTAAGTTTAGTTCATTCTAAGAGTCTGCCCTCATCTCATAAAATATAGCACGAATCTCATGTTCGTCACCCTACCGTGTGTTCCAAAATCATGAAGTTCGTGATTCAATTCTAAAATTGGATTATGAACAGTCCACCCGACACTCTTTGATGTTAGTGTTTCATGAAACTTCATCGCAAATCAGTTATGCACAGTCTTGTGCAATCGTGTGAGCTTTTGAGAGTCGAGAATTATCCCCAACAAAATTTTGGAAAATTTGATTTCTATAATTTCCTTACAGTAATTAAAAGTGAATTAAATTATGAAGTAAAATAATATTAGAAGTATCATAAATATTTGATCATCTTGATTAATTATATATGCTAAAATTTTTAATTTAATTATGGTGTTTAAAATATTAAAAGCCTTATTAACATTGGATATCAGATGTTAAATATTTCATACTTAACTGGAAGAAGAATATTTATCAAGTTTATCCAAAATCTCCATTAGATTAGGGGTAATTATTCCAAATTTTTTATAAATGTAAATATTAAATATAAATAATCATTGAAATTTGGAATGCGTTAAAGGAATTATTTTTTATGAATACTTATCATCTCACATTAAATTTTTTTAATTTCGAAAACTATGTTTATTTTTATGTGGTATAAGTGCTACGTTCAAAGAAAATAATCTGCTCACTTCGAATGCTTCTTTTGAGCATTTGAAGAAACAACCCGGGACACATGTTATTTGAGCAGAGTAGATTCTTAAAGGAAGAAAAATAGATGTTTTATAGTTTTAATGTATGGATGAATATGTGGATACACATTTCAAAGACGATGTGATTTGAAACAAACAAAAGTATGGCAAATCATCTCAAACTCTAGACATACTTCACGATGTATATACAATCTTATAATATAAGACAAATTGTACGGATGGAGTGGAGAATAGAGAATATTGATTATATGTAATGAATATCTATGGATTTTAGTAACTTTATCATCAAGAGATCCGAATTCTATTTTATGTATATAAATTCTATCCGATCTGAATATATTTTTTGAATGATACTTCTTTGAAGTTTATGCTTTGTTTGACACGATATGAGCATGTATTGTTGCTTCCAGTTGGGATCAGATACATTATCTTCTGTTACAATTGGTACGTAGTCAATTCATCACCAACTACAGGTGGTTGTTATATGTATCAGTTGACATGTGACAACCACCCTTAGTTGGAACTTAGCAGGTATATAATTATTTAGAATATATGCGGTGAATGTCAAGAGGAACTGGACAATATCTTGGCCATCAGTCAGGAGGATATATATTGTCTGTGGGAAGACTATATATAGTCTTCCCACCCTATTTGTTACTTGGCAACTTCTTTATACAGGATGCGATTCCTTCAGCTAGGGCAGAAAGTTCCTCACACGGAGAGTTGAGGAATTCGACGGATGTGAGAGGAGTTTTGATATCATAGCCTCGTGATACCAGGTGACACTGGGTGGAGAACATGTACAATGGCTCTCAATGACATGACTGTGATTCTGCATCGCACCAAAACATGCTCATGTGAAGATGTGGAAATACATTTAGAGCATTCAACTTCTCCTGGATTATTCAATCTGATCAAGCAGAGGCTGAAAAATGAGGAGAATTTTCGCAAGTTTTTGATGCTATTGTCTGACTGGTGGGCTGGAAGATTTGCCACTGAACATGTTGTGGTTCCAATAAGAAAGTTATTTGAAGACCATGTGGTGATATTTCAAGGCTCTCGATCTTTTCTACAAATTGAATTTTGGGACTAGTCTTTACATTCCACGATTTTTGTAAGGCTATTTTCAGCTAGATGAAAAGATGATGGTGTAGATTCATATGATCAAAGGAGCATAGGTGTCAGAGTTAAAGACAAGTGTCAAAAAGGGCTTGCATTAAACTTGGTGCAAACTTGTCAAATTACCCATGTAGCAAACTCTTGAATATAAAAATGCATACGATCCTTCATTTCTCAAATTTTTAAAGTGCTCTTGCCATAATTGTGTCATACATATAGAGTATAAAGTCATGCAAATCTGTTATAGTTTCACCACCTACGGAGAGTTTCAGGAGAAATTCTCATTAAAAAATAGCTCTAGTTATAAACTGAAAGTGCAGAATCAATGTCTTTTCCCCAAATTATCACTTTAAAATATGCGGCTCAAAATGATCAGGAAAGCTCCAATTAGACGATCCAAGAACTTGTTTTGTTGGCAGTTCAGTTCACTTCTCATGAGGGTAATGTTAACATGTAACGCAGTGCTTTGAGAATTTATTGTACTTTATGGAAAAATGAAACGACTACAATCTCTATATGCTTCGTTTAAAATTTGTTCTGTCTTCAATCTGACAGTCTACCAAGACTGATGGAGATACGGACAACTCATTAGCAACTTCCGATTCTGTATTTTCAACTGCATCAGTTACATATCAATGTAATCAAATAATATCACAGGGCAACGAGAGATGATGCAAGCTTGAGTCGAATATCCGCTTTTATCTTCAATCATTTACGACTAACCTTGTTAGAAGGTTTCAAGACATCTAAAATCATCAACAACACTCCGTTGTCGCTTGCGCGTGAGATAGTCTTAATAGTATGAACGTAGCTTCCATTTTCTGAATCGCAATTAAAGCATGTCTGCTTTTGACTTTGAGTATGGAAATGGCGTGACTTCAATGTCTATCATCTTCTGAAATTTGGTTTCGCAAGGAAAAGCATGAAGGAAGTTCACTCTACAGCAAGACAGATTACTTAAAACACATTGCCCAAAAATCTTTTGTATGTTCGCAGTCATTGAGATAGGAGGAATATTAGTGTTGCCTCATTGCTCGATCAATATCCATCAGATCAAAAGTTGGTTACATGCATGGGAGATGGATTTATGTTGCTAAGACTAGGTTCATGCTGCTTTCCACTGTTCTATATAACATGTGGTGCAATTTTTAAACTTCGTCTTGCAACATGCACTAGCCTCAAAATAAGTGTTCTATTCATAAGTCTATGCTTCTTCTGCGCGTTCTATGAAGGGAAGGGAAATTTTATAATGAGAGGGTTTCATTGTACTTTTCACTTTCACTTTTCTGTCAGAAGCTTTGAAGCTCTTATTGCCATAGTCGTAGTGATTCCATGCGTAGCACTATGCTTGCAAGTAACAAAGGGAGTGGAGAAGAGAGGCATGGGAAAAAATCGCAATGAACCGAAAATCCAAAATATTTGCGCACCTAGGACAGGCAAGTTGGACAACGACGTTTCGAATTTCCCATCCATCAATGAATGCAGAATGCGCCTTCTTCGCTCCACGTGTCTCTCCGTCTGCATCCTCTGCGAATCCGTAGGGACCACTGGTCATTGACGTGGACACTCTGACAATCGGGGTTTCGCACTCAAGAGAACAATGGCGATTTCGCCGTTCCGACCATGATCGCTTCATCGATCGCACGCCTTGCCCCCACTTTTAGCAGTTTGTTCGATGCTGTACAGTTTGGCGTCACTGGCTTGTTCTTCGTATGTTCGGAACTTACTTGCAATTGATATGCGAGTTTAATTTTCACATACGTAGATTGAAGAATTCCTCTCGATCGGTCGATTCCCGGTGATTGAACTTGAAGGTGAAATTTGTATCTTTATTGCTAATGCATTCGCTCGGCCCGATCCCACCTAGTAGCACCGTGCTAGAAGTAGGAAGTTGCTTGCGCATCCTCCTCTCGCTGCCGAGGCTCAGAATTGATGCTCAATCAATATCCCGCACTTTCCGTTACGTCCTTTTTATTTCCTTCCATGTCTTATAACTCTTGGATTTCTTAGGGTTTGGTTGTCGATCGAGCTCTGTTTATGAACCGCCTGCAAAGGTTTTTGGAGGTCTACACTTCGTGATCTGGGTTTATGAAATTCGAATCAATTTAGAACTTTGAGTTTGCGAGTTGTTCTCGCAGTACTTGTCTTAAACCCTAGAGAACCCCACGAGGGGTTTATATTAGGGTCGATCATTGTTACATTGCTCTGTTTCGAGACTTACAACATGTTTTGAGCTGGTTAGCAATTTTCTGTTTTGTAGATTGCGACTGATCATTTACTCTTAAACCTCTGTACAGGTGCGCCGAAATTATGTTGGAACCCTCACTCAACAAATTCGTTTGTACATTCGGGACGAAGGCCATGCAGCGATATCTGTATACTTTATCTTGTTGGTAAAGAATAGCCCACGGAAAATGCTTTGTGGTACGAACTGGAAGATTGGAGGTTTGAAAGAAATTAGGGCACCATTCTTCCATGGAGTGCGGACTCAACTGTAGGATTTCTTCTCCCGACCAGGGTTTATTTTGCAGCAACGACTGCCAGGCAATGTTGTCGCAAATTCTCCAGGGGAAGCTAGACTGCTAAAATTCCAGGCCGGGAGTTTTTTCTGCGATGTATGCCCAGACCTGGAGGCGGCATTCTGGGAGGCTTCAGGCCGACATATTGGGGTATGCCAGGGATTTAATACCAGGATTGCGAGGAAATGCTACCTCGACGAAGTCTTGGACGAAATTTTTATACAGGGTCAAGGGCAGTCAGATACAGACTAAACAGGCTCGTCAGAGGATCAACCGCCACGATTTACCAATTTCCGCAGATAGCAGGATCAATTGTGATGTCAAGTCTTGCATTACAAAGGGGAAAGTTTTTCAACGCGAATCCAACGGAATCTCGCAGTATTCAAAGCCGAGTTTTGACTCCGTACCGCAAGGGTTTTGGTCTATACCACCCTCTCTGGTCTGTAGAAACTCCACGCTTGAATCATCCACATCCAAAATAAATATTCTGAGATCTCCTTCAACATTTTTGCGCTATTTTACTGGCGGAGACCATGATGACAAAGGAAACAATGCCAGACAGCAAACAACACCATTACCAGATGGAGAAGCGGATGATAATGAGAAAGATGAAGAGCATGTTTTGTCCATGAAGGATGGAGGGGACGGAGGGGCAGGAAAGGGTTCTAGAGTTTCGTCTGACCTTATCGGTGGAGCAGATCAGAGAGGAGAAAATCACGAGCAGGCGGTTGAGTTCAGAGCTGATGGATCGGACTTTCGGGAGGAAGACAGAGAGCGAGGTATGTCCGACGAAGCGGATGGAGAAGCTCTTTTCTGGGCTCATAAAACAAGGTTCATCAAGGACTTCGAAAGTCGTGTGGTGGATTGGAAGAGTCTCGATGTTGATCTGCCGCAGTTTCCGTTCTATTTGAGGTACGTTGTGACGAGAATTTCTTGGTTAAGGTTTGGAAGAAAGAAGCTCTGTGCTCTTTTTTTTTTTCATAGTCGCAAACATGTGCCCGACTACGGGGAGACTTAAAACCACACACTAGCGACGCTATCGAAGGTTTGGTCTGGTATCTTGATTCTGCTGTAATTAGTGGGTAAATTATTTCTTAAAATGCTAAACCTGATGCTTACCACAGAGCAGGCGAACTTGGTAAAATAACTCATGGTTGAATGTGTTCTATTTGAAGAGTATGCTACAGAGCCGAGTCTTGAATTTCCATTCATAAAAGCTCTGGAGCAGAATCATTGTCTTTTCCCAAGAATGTTCTGTCAAGTTCCTATGGCTTGTGGGTAGATAATCACTCGGTATACAATGCAATGGTGGAATTTGCCCTGAGCTTATGTATGTTGTCTTGAAGATATATGTAACTTATAAGCTCTTCGTTCGCCCCGTTAGGCGCGTGGGCCTCCCTTCAGTGATGCACTGGAAAATACATCAGATGGCTATCTTTTGAATATAATCCGACTTTTTGTAATTGAGCCTTTACTTAACACGGGATTCATCGACTAGTTTTGAAATATCAGGGGTTTTAGTTTTCCACGGTGAAGAAATCTATTCCTTTTTTATCGAACAATTTGTATTAAGGCAGAGGTTGATCACTCTCGTCGGTTATGGTCTGAGGTGCCCAAAAGTGCACGGTTCCGAGCAGCGGTTCCAACTGGAACGGCTGACAATGTGGACTCTTCTTTTGAGTAGCCCACATCTCATACGAAGTCTTCGAACTATGTATGTCGAAGACTAGAAAATTCTGACCTGAGTTCGATATGAGACCGTGCAGGTCTTCAGAACCTGCTCCATCCTTCCCTGGAGTCTCCTTGGCTTCTTTCTGGTACTTTTAACTTTAACTTCAAGTAAAGATGAGAGCAACTCGAAGTCAACAAATGTCTAACGGGGATAAGAACATGCATTACTGAATCATTACACAGCAGTTCGCTGTTTTCGTTTAATGTCGATGTGGACACTCATTGATCTTCAGAGTCTTTGACTGCATTAACGCGTTGTCTAAGGACAACGCGTTATTGCAGATTTTGCTACGGTTTCAGATAATGACACTGGGCCTCGGTCTTTTCATGGTCTCTAAATTTGAGTGTCGTTAACCTCTTTGATTCTCGCTGATTAGTCATGTTGCAGATTATGGTATTCAGTAGGTAGGGGGATGTTCTCTGGACTGATCGTTCCGAGCAACAATCTTTTTATTAATTCGTTGGTAGTATGTTCTGGTTTTCATGCGCTTTGATCGGCATGAATGCCTTTGTTACCCGAATCGAGGTATCAACGTTGCAGTGTTTCAATTTAACCTTATATCCACCACCTTCTCGTATCGTTTGGTTCCATGTGTATCAATAAACTGCGGACAGAAAATATTCATATTTTTCAATGTAGATAGAGCCGGTCAGCACGTCTGTATCTTTACCAACTTAACGTGAGGTCTGTAACGGTATTAAGTATGTGTCAGTTAAGTAGACCGGGAAAGAAATGACGCTGCTTGGTCCCTGTATTGGGATGGTAGTAATGCAAATAACCAGTGAAATACTTTAATTTGGAGTATCTCAACACCTGGTCAATATACTCAACGCCATTTTCATTAACACTACACCTCTGGTCGCATTTCTGTTAAGTCTTGCTAAGTTCCGTGCTTATGTTTTCGTGTCAATAAAACGTAAGGAACATGACATTGACTTGTCAAGTAACTATCAGCTTTGCCAGGTAGGGTTCGAAAGTTTGAAGAAAATTGTGGGGATGCGTCTGTGAAAAAATAGCTTCAATTTTTAGCTGTTGCAGAATCGTATTTCGACTAAGAAGTGTACTCATTCTTGTTTTTCCTCTTCTCGTGATTTAGTGAGAGTACGAGGGATAGCTTGGTTGATTGCATAGCAGCACATCTGAGACAACCAACCTTTGCTGGCTATGGATCCGGGCTGCCGTCATCGAGTCGCAGAATTATGCTTCGAGGTCCAGCAGGTTGGGTTGCGTAATCAGAACCAATATTTTTGAAAGTGCTTCTCTTCTCGTTTGAGCTGAGTGCAGCTGTATTGAATGCCGTAAGGGCTTGTTGTACTAGACTTCGAACTAGTCATGAAAGTTTTTCGACGAGCTTGAAGCAACTCAGTCATTATAACAGCGAAAATATGCAGCTATATCGAAAGTCAGTAAGAGAAATATGTTGTTATATGATTCGGTTCTAGATTTGAATTTGTTGCTAATCGAATTTTGTTACGAGGCAGGGACGGAGGTCTACCAAGAAAAACTAGTAGAAGCTGTTGCCCATTATCTGCAAGCATCTCTCCTCGTTCTTGATAGCACAGTTCTCTCTCCTCATGTAAGCAAACTCTCTTCCCCTAGTCTTATATTCGTTGTGCTGCCGTTGTGAAATTTGTATGTATATAATGTGCTTTTACGACTAGTACGTGAATATGATTAAACAACATGCTATTATTGGCCATAATCATCGTTTGTGTATACCAGGATTGGCCAGAGAATTTAGATAAGACTCCGCGAGTTTCTTTTGTCCCTTCATTTACTTGTGGCAGTTTGCAGGACTACGGAGACCAGGAATCGTCTTCAGAATCTGATGAAGACGAAAATGAAGATTCGCAATATGCGGGAGACTGGAACGATTATAAATGGCGTGAAAATGAGTGCAAAGAAGGCAGCACTGGGGAGGAGAATGAAGATACGGATGTCGATGCGGAGGTAGAGAAGCCATCTGATGAAAAGATTTACAGTAAGTTGCCAGTGGTTACCCTTCTGGGTGTATCTGCGGAGAGTGCAGAAGCTATCAGGCGGAAGCTTTTGGAGGTAAATGATGTGCTCGTTTTGGTGGTCCCCAATGGATGTTGTGGTATGCTTACGCGTGTCAGCTAGCGAACATCTGTCTCTTCTTCATGCAGTTCATTTCTAACAACATTGGTTATTGCTTCGTTGGTCTCACACAGCAGAAAGCAGGAGAAGATGCGCAACAAGATGAGAACCTTGATGCGCAGACAGATTTTTCAGTTAAGAAAGGTATGTACGACTCTTGAAACGCAACGCTCTGTGTTGTCTTCTTTATGCCACATAAACGATGCTGGGAATTTTTCCTCCGAGCCATTATGTCATAATGGGTATGATGCTTGTGAAGTAGTGGTGGTGTTCTTTAAAGAGATGGCAGTAAAAGGCAGTTCGAGATACATTACTTTTTGTCTGGTGCAATGAGTGTAGTTGATGCTTTGAAAGGCTGTTTTCTCATAGCTTCGTCACCCCGTTGGCCCTTTGTCTCCAATTACTGAAGACGAAACTTGTTCAAGAGATTCTAAGTCTTCTTCATTGGCTTTCTCTCTCAAGGTGACCGTGTCAAGTACATTGGGGAGCGCAAGTTCTCTGCGGATTCTGTCAATAGGTTAGTGTTCTTGGGGTTTCCTTTTTACCCGTTCCGTTTTCTTGAAGGTTTTAACTTCAGGGTTTGATTCTTCCATCAGTTTTCTATGTTTGAAGTGTTGTTTTGATCATATTTGCTCATTTTTCGTCTTTTATCATCGTCACTGGTCTCCTTGAGCAGGTGTTCTTATGAGAATGAGCAAGCAAGCACTTCAGGAAGGGATTCTACTGGCAGGTAAAATTGTTGTCAGGGCTCGTCATGAGCAAACGAAGGTTGTTTTTCATTTTTCGAAGTTGAAAGTTACTGCGGAATCATGCTGTAAATTCTTTGGCATATTGTACATCGCGGAAAGTGTGATGAAGTCCACGGATAAATAGATTATTTCAGCGAGTTGATGGTTTCTGCCGAGATGGAATCGCTGTATGACACTTGAAGCTTTTGGTACAGGCAGGTTCTGAAAGCTGGGCAAAGAGGTAGGGTAGTTTTGGTACCAAAGCACATGTCAGGCAAGGTTGGAGTCAAGTTCGACAACAGCGAGGAACGATCAGACGATGTTTTGAAAGATGAAAAGAACCCTGAAAATGCTGAGAAAAGACATGAGCTTATTGAATGGTGTGACTGTACGTATTTGTAACCTTTTCCAGAATATTGAAGTAATATATACCATTAGTAGAGTTTGCCGATAAGAATAATTTGAGTTGACCATTTACAGCTTTCGATGGTATTTTCCGGATTGACCATCAAGTTCTTTTCATGGAGATAAGGACAATGGGCTTAAACTTTGAAAGCTAAGCAATGTGTATTGTGGAACGCTTTTTTTGCAGTATCTGATTTGGAACCCGACGACGGACCATTCACCACTCATACTGAATGGTTAGCTGCAGTTGATTCCCTATGCGAGGTAATTGTCTCGTTTTCTTTTGTCGAGTACTGTTTTGTTTTGAAGAAGCGAGGTTTATCAATCTGATATGGCCCGTACTGAAATGATTCAATTCTTCTAGCTGTAACATGACTGTAATGACTAAGCATGTCATTTCTACTTCCCATCCATTCTCCTCGGACCCAATGTTAAGGGTTCTTCATATTACATACCAAAGTATTGTGTGCACTCCCACTCGCAGAGAGGTTGAGTGATAAGCAAAACCCTTCTCCTGCTTAGACTGTCTTCGGGGAGGCTTAACCCAAACAAGAAGGCTCGGGGTCGACCGCGCATACATAAATGAATCCCCCTGGAATGGGAGATATGGAAATTGTCCTTATGGCACATTGAACCTTTTATCTCCACTTCGCAGTCTATATATTGAAGATTTAAAATTAAGCGATTTATATCTCTATCTGTGCTGCAGGTTGCCTCTACATCCAGGCCGTTGATCATTTACCTTCCTGATCCTCAACAATGGTTTGAGAGGGCTGTTTCGGTGGAACAGAGACAAGAATTTTTGATGCAACTCGAGCACAAACTAGACTTGTTGGAGGGCCCGGTTGTAATCATTGCTGGTCGCACAAACGAGGATCAAAGTGAAATTGATGACAGGGATAGACTGGTATGGGATTCTATAGTCTGATAATGTCGCTTTCTCAGGTTTCAGGCGTAGCCGGATTAGATTTGCCAAAGTTGAGTTCTTCATAGGAGATCTCAACACAATTGAAAGTATGAAGACTGTTAAATGTGAATTTTGGTCTTTCTTATGCACCGATAATTTAGCTGGTGTGATGTTTTATGATATCAAGGACTTAACCAGTTACTTTCCTGTTTATTCTGCAGAAAGCTCATCTGGAGTACATCCGGCAGCGGCTGGTAAGAGAAAAGCCTAATACGATCCTAGTTGTTGCATTAACCCACTACTTAGTCACTATCTTAAAAAAAATTATGAAAAATTGCATGACGATAGAGTTATGAGTAGCATATTTGTTGAATATGACGATCAATCTAAAAGCTAATAAATTTATTCTTGATGAAGAATTTGCTTATTTACAAAGATGTTATCTTCGTTCCGTATATGACAATCCTGATCCTCAAGCATGCAAATACTAGCTTGAAACATCTTATGAGCTTGTATCTCTGGATATCCAACATCAACTAAGTAATAGAATCTGAGTGCCCTTTACTCTCTTCTGTGCACGTGCACTTTGTTGTTATTTGGCCCTAGAAGCGTGGGTAGAGTCGACAGAAGCGATTTAACAGTTTATGACAGTTCACTTTAATAGGCCTATTTCATTCGGGTTTTGGCTTTTTGTAGAACCTGAAAGCAACTGCAAAGTATTTCAAGTTGAAGGAGTTGCTCGGAGCTGGAGATATCTACGAGATCTTCGTCAATACCGTCCATATTGTGCCTCCCCAGGTAAGCTTGGAGGGTATATGGTTTTGTCCTTCTCAAATAGCAGGTATTGTTTTATTGGGACAATGATCTCATGAGATCTTTTCATGAACCGCTTGTGATCAAAAGGTTTAGAGGAAGAATATACTCTAGTGCCCTTTATCAGAAGTATGCAAGTGCATTAGATGATTATAGATGAGTCTATACAATGATTGGCAAGGCTTCGAAAGGTTCTGTGAATCTCTTTTTCTGAAACAATTTACGCCTAAGTAAAGGATTACTTCCTCCTTACTGTCCTCTGTGGCGTTTCGATCGAATCTTGGAAGAATTCCAGTGTTTCGTTTAGGTTTATTTTCAAAATGCCACTTGTGGCATTTTGCCCTCACTTCTTTAATATTGAAATCGCCACGCTATGGCTGTTGGATTTATTACCCATTTATTATTTTCGTTTCAGCCACATGTGGCGTTTTGGTTGCATTGCATTAAAAATTTGCCGCCACAGGGCAATTTTTCTGCACATAGAGAAGTCAGGCACGTTCCTACGCTGTACTAGTCTAACCCGCTTGGCTACCGACTCCTAGTACATGCAGTGCTCTTTGGCTGCATCTCATTTTGCCAAGGAAACTAGATATGTAAAGCTGTGCACTGTGTACGACGACCGCCTAACTTGAACGCATACATTGAGGTGCTTTGGCCCTAGGCGCCAGCTCTCCACAGAGCCTATTGGGATAACTAGCATAATTGCTGCAAATTTGTATAAAGCACTCAAGCCTCCTAGGATACTCTTCCAAAATGATTGGGTTGTGCCCCGATGGCTGTCCTCTTCCACAACATTTTGCATGAGAGCCTTGAAGCTATCCTCCTGCAACTCTACCTCATCACGATCTACTAAGATAGAGTTGCAGGAGGATAGCTTCAAGGCTTAGATTTGCTGCTGCCACAATGGCGGCAGCCTTTGGCTGATTTAATTTTGCTGCAGCCACAACGTGGCGGCAACCTTGGCTTGCATTACTTTTGAAAAACCAACTTGCGGCGGCCGAGGGCCACCATTATTAGTTAGAAATCGCCACAATTTGGGCTGATTTAATTAGAAACCGCCACATTGGCGGTTAACCGCCACTAAACGAAACCCTGAAGAATTCTGACTGTCGTCTACGTGTTCATCTACAGGAAGATGAGGCTCTTGCAAATTGGAATGCTCAAATTGCCTTGCACAAAGAAATCAGCCAAGCAAGGTGGAACCATCGACTTTTAGAAAAGGTAAGAGTTAGTGGTGTCATTTCTTTTAGTTGTGTCCCCACTAGTTTAAACTTTACTTCGCAAAGTGTGGAGGTATTTCTGTGTTCTATCTAATGGCTTTGGCGGTTCTTAACAGATTTTAGAGCTGCATAATATGGAGTGCTCTGATGTCAGTGAAGTGGATTCACATGGTTTGCGCTTAACAAACTCCAGTAAGTCTGCGACTTATGCTTTCAAATGCGTTGATTATTTTAAAATTGGTCCAGGGTTATTTCCTGCTTCTTTATTTTATTCACTACCTTCATTATGAAATCAACTGGTCATGAATATTCGTGGAAAGCTCTTGAGAGTTTAGATGAATTGCAGAAGCGGAGAATGTGGTTGGCTGGGCAAGGAATCATCATCTCGGATCTTGTGCATCTATTCCTCCCACGAATAATGGAAAACTGATGATCCCTCGGGACAGGTACTTACATAGCGTATTATATGCCTTGAAGGTCCCGTGTATGCGAACGTGTCCAATTTAGAAGTAGTTGTGGCCCACTTGTGAAATTGTCGCAAAGTTGTTGTGATATTTGGCGAGAACAGGGAAAGGATGATAACTCGTCTTTCCTGTAATTCATAGAGAGGTTGCTATGGAAAATGCGAGAATCATGAACTAGCCTACGCTTTGTATTTCTTGTATATCGATCTACACTGTTCCAGCATATGAGCTTTAATGTTCCAATGTTTGTTGATATGTATGGACAGCTTGGAGAGAGCACTGACAAGGTTGAGGGAAAACGACAGCAAGAAAGCACAGCCAGTTACCAAAGATTTCAAGGTCTGTCATCTATATTTTACGGATCGCAAAGTTCACTTATTCTGGAACAGTGATTAGGTTCTCTGCAGTCATTTATCCCTAACTGATGGTGGCCGGTCGCAGACAGTAGCAGAGGATGAATATGAGAAGGCACTGATTTCTGCTGTCATTCCGCCGAACGAAGTTGGCGTGAAGTTTGACCACATAGGTTCATTGGAAAATGTCAAGCAAGCACTCAAAGAACTTGTCATGCTTCCCTTACAGCGCCCTGAACTTTTCGCGAAAGGCAACCTGACCAGGGTAAGTCTATTCTTAGTATTCTCACCAAAGAGCCTTTTAGTTTGAATCGGGACAATGTTATATCGTAGACCGAACACTTTTGAATTATGAACTTCTTGTTATGCTGTTGAGATATGATGTTCACGTCATGATCATGTTGTCCAGCCCTGCAAAGGTGTTTTGCTGTTTGGACCTCCTGGAACTGGAAAAACGTTACTCGCCAAAGCTGTAGCTACTGAGGCCGGGGCCAACTTCATCAATATAACTGGTTCTACAATTACTTCTAAGGTAGTTACTGAGATTTTTTTGCTAATTCATGAAACAAATTCAGTTTGATACATTTTCTTTTTGGGATTTTGTACTTAGTCCAGTCTCGGGCACTCATTATGACGTGTCGTTTTCAGTGATAATTTACAAGAAGAGGAAGCTCTCAAGGGTTCTGACTTCTAACGTAGCGAAGATAAATATATGTCTCTTGTGGTGTGTTTTGTTCCTGCCACAGTGGTTCGGAGATGCAGAGAAGTTGACAAAGGCTTTGTTCTCTTTAGCAAAGAAACTCTCCCCAGCGGTTATATTCGTTGATGAGGTATGATTCCTCTTCTCTTGTGAGAACTCAGATTGACATTTCACTGTAACTTGAGCTTTGGTCGAGCCGAAAGCTTATCTGGTTAAATGGTTTCTTTACAATGGCGTTTCTCACCGCCGGTCACCTTACGGTACTTTTTAATACTGGCAGGTTGATAGTCTTCTGGGTGCACGTGGTGGGAGTTCTGAGCATGAAGCCACGAGAAAGACAAGGAACGAATTTATGGCAGCATGGGACGGGCTTCGATCGAAAGACAACGAACGGGTTTTGGTTCTAGCTGCCACGAATCGCCCATTCGATTTGGATGATGCAGTAATCCGAAGATTACCAAGAAGGTCAGGTTTTCTGCGCTAGGAATACTTCCCCAATATTTGTGTGCCGAAGGCAGGTTTGAAGGCATTTAGTGTTTCATAATTACTAGAGAGCTGGTCAGAATGAAGAGAGTAAGTTTCGAAAGTGTGAGAGAATCGTACAGATTTAAATTCTGGACATATTCATGTTCTGATAAAGTCCATGGGGCTGCAGTCACACCAGCCAAATCAGTTACAATCAGTTGCATATAGTTTCTAGCTTTGTCTAGATTGCATGCACGATCAGTTAGCTTGACGCTGGTCACTCCAGCACATATTGTTTACATGTGCACTGAGTATCCTTACTAGAGCGCTATCAACTGCTTTTTGTTCCATTTATGACCTAGACTCAAGTATCTTAATATATTTGTGGATGCAAGCCACGTATTGACTCTTTAAGTTGATTCGCGTGCGCTCTACAGGATACTCGTGGACCTACCCACTGCTGAGAATAGGGTGAAGATTTTGCGCGTGATACTTGCGGAGGAGGATTTGGAGCCCAACTTCAACTTCAATGAGCTTGCTCAAATAACTGAAGGCTATTCAGGAAGTGATTTGAAGGTGCGTTTATACAATGCAGCTTTTATGATTGACAGACTTTACGTTTTATGACTGCTAACAATTTGTGGGCTTGTTACACGCAGAATCTCTCAATTGCAGCTGCTTACCGTCCGATTCGCGAGCTGTTAGATGCCGAACAGAAGGTCGATTTTCGACTCCCCTTCATTATTAATTTTAAAAGGCTGATGGTATCATCTCGTATTTTTTTGGGCTTTTCTCTGGTAGATTCAGATGTAGGACTCGTGGATATTCCACTCGTGTTAGACCCACATGTTCCGTAGAGGGTTGTCATAATATGGGGATTTATTCGGTCTTGCTCCAGTAAGGGAACCCGGTGGTCTTAAGTGAATTGTGACACTCAACTTTCAGGAACAGGAAGCTGTACCTCTATCAGCTGAAGGTGAAGGTAGGAGACCTCTCCTATCTCGTGCTTCATCTACTGCAGTCATTCGAGCATTGCGATTATCCGACTTCCGTGAAGCAATGAATCAGGTATGGTTTTATTAACAGCACATCAAGCCATTCCGGATTTGGAAATTTAATATCTTTTGTGCAATCTTTAATACTAGTTTGTTATCTTCACATCGAGTCATGGAAGCTGAGGGATGAGTGTAGGAGAACATATTAGCGATATAATAAGCTTCTAAATGTATACCTCGCAAAAGTACTACATCGGGGAACCAGCAGTTTTGACTGCCAATTGTTAGATGTGGCGTTTCGTTCATGACTATTTACTTCTACGTCCACTCAGGTCGGTGCTTCAATTGCTTATGATGCGTCAAGCATGAACGAGCTTCGGCGGTGGAATGAACAATACGGAGAAGGGGGAAATAGGAGAAAATCTACATTCGGTTTTGCTGTATAACATTGTAACTCTTTCAACTAGCACGAAGACGCTGGAGTCAAGATTTGGAAACATTTCTGCCTGAGAGAATGGACCCCTCCAGTCCAAAGTATATTTTGCGTCCTCACTTTGTGAAGGATACGAAGTCAGTAGCTAAACAGCCCCATATCCAGAGATGCATGGATTAGGGTGCACAATTCAAGCGTAACCACAGCTTGCAGAATACCTCTGTGGGATAGATTCAGTAGACTGCGGCAGTAGTTGCCTCAATTCTTTTCGCCACTGTGTAACATTGTTGTGGCAGGAACAGTATCTTAACTCCACTTTCAGGAGTCTATTGTCCATGATCCTTACGTGAATGTACTTTCTGTAGAGCTAGTCAATTCAGTGGCTTGTAATTACTACTGCTGAGGACAGGCCTTCAAATATTGAAGTATGACCAAGGGATTGGACAGTCACATTCTGGAGATTAATGTGTTGTTTTTGTGGTTCGAATGCATTTTACCTGTACCTCTATTCTTGAAGCCTTGTTTCGTGATGGCACTCAGCTCCGTGATGGAGTGCGTTCTGTCTCTGAGATGAGGACACAGAGTGCTTGATAATGCTAGTCGCGTGTCGGGAACGTTCCTTGAAAGTACATCCATTTTTGGCGGCGGCTCCGTCAGGCCTCTCAACTTCCGATATGGGACAATTTGATCAGAGCTAAAGCTGTACCGTCGGCGTTTCGCAAATGCCTTTCAGTCGAACTTGACAACTTCATAATAAAATGTCTAGAGATACAATTACAACAAAACAAGGTCTTGGTCGATACAGGACTAAGAACTTACGAAATTAAGGCAATAGTTGGAATGGGTGTAATTTCAACACTTGAGCAAATTACTTGATGGGACTTTTTGCGATGGGTACCATCAAGTAATTTGTAAGTTAGTGAGACACATCGATCCTTTAGGGTTTACCGTTTGGAATCCCATCTTTAAGTTCTAAAATTGTTCATATATATATATATATATATATATATATATAGGAACAAGTTTAGAACTTTAACGACGGCTCTTCTAGTCTGGGTTTTCTTGTTGGGACCAAGACTCCTGTGCGGTCCAGGATGACCATCTGCCCGAAGATTTCCAACAACGCTAGCGAAGATAAGTTGCTGGAGCCATCTCCCGTTGACACATATGACTTGATACAATCGGAATTGTCTCCACATCAGGTTCATACTAATATAAGAGTGACACATGTGACTTGACACAATTGGAATTGTTTGCACCTTAACTTCATACTAGAACATAGATGATTCGTACCTTCCGTTGGATCCGGTAGATAAATAATTTGTGTTAAGATGTGTCACATCAAATAATTATCGCCAAACACTTATAATTAGCAAAATGTGTAGATTAGTAGATTTATCTAGTTTGTTGAATTATTCTAGATAGTTGAGATTTTAAAAATTGACAGTCGACGGGAATTGTCCATAATAGCAACTTTTCTGACGATTATGAATCCGGTATTGAAAATTTGTAATATGACAAAATATTAGAACTGTGCTCAAATATATTGGAGAGGAGTATGATATTTCGAATATATATGTCACGAGAGAATATCTGATGAGACTGTTTTTAATTCACTACATGAGCTAGTGCAGTCTGTATGACAACTGGAACTCTAAACTCTATCCAATGTTTCAAACCATCTTATAGAAAATGACGTACCATCTCACTACTATCCGAGAAGATAGTTCACGGGAATGAAATCTTAATTATTGTAATATAATATATTATGATCTTAAATATTAATTTCACGATTGGAATCGTTGATCATGGATGCTGGATTTCACGAGGCGAAATGCTCAGATGTGCAATCATCTTGGGACCAGAGGCCACAAAATGTTCTGCATCTCATACATTCTTTGTGCATAGATTTTCAACACATCTTGTATTCTAAAAGCCTTCATAATTTATTTTGTATAGGTACTGCAGTATAAAAGAAACTCGACAACCCCACTGAAGAGCCCGAAAGAACATTAGAGGCATATGAACGTATGGGAAGGGAATGTAGATTGGAAGGGACTATGGCTGGTGGCTGGACAATAAGAGAAACACTCCGTGAATGAGTATCTGCCATAAGACAGATTTCTCAATTCTGGCATCTGACGATCTGTGAGGATGTGTCATTCACATGAGAAATGAAATCAGACGAAACAGTACTGCAATAAGTTAGAACAAAGGACTGAGTCATAGAATAATAGTATCGTTCGCACTATTATTTCGGTTGTGGAGCCGGCATTCCTATACCCGCACTGACTTTTTTTCATTGATACAAAGCAATCTCCGCATAACAGAAATCCTTAAACCACATACCTCATTTTGTGACCTCAACACAGGACCGGCAGAAATGGTAATACATCTCTACCGACCATCCAGTTAAGACACAGTAAACACACAGAAAAATCATTAAGTCAAACGCATCGCCGGAGTAACTTGCAGAAATTATCAAACTCTCAACCTATATGGACCTTTCAGCTCACAAACGTCATTCAAAATCAAAGCCAACTTGGAAAAGATCAAAACTTAGTTAAATTTTCGTGCAAAATGCGAGTGTTCGACAGATTCTGCTCACAGATGTTGAATTGAATATCATCTATCCAAATCTACATCTTGAGCAGCGGCATCTAACATGTCATCTTCATCACCAAAAAGATCTTCGTCAATATCAGCCTTTGCTTTCGCATTTGCATCCCTTGGCAAGTCCTCTGTTGCTTTTGACTTGTTCTCCTTGTGAACACCATCGGCAATCATACTTGCAGCCTGTTCGTCCGGCATTGAACTGTCAACTACATTTTGAGCATTTGCCCATGACCCTCCAACTATCCCAGTAAGTGACTCTCCGTATATATCTCCATAAAGGCCACCCTTACCAGGAGCCTTGACTTTCTCTAAATATTGCTTCAGCCTCTGCGTAACTCCCTGAGAGGAACCTGTTTCCGCTTTAGGCTTCGCATCCTCGTGACCTTTCGGAATTACAGTCACTTTTACCAGGGACTCATATTTACCCACTAGACTGCCTTCCCTCACACCGATCGGACCTGGCTCGGTGCTCACATCCGCACCATCAGATATTCCAACCACTTCCACAAGGATTCCACCGTAATCATCACGAAAAGAAACACGAGCTTTCCTCGGTTTTTTGTTCGGCCTCTCTGATCCATTGTAGTCTTCTTTTCCTGCCCCAGTACCAAATCTACTACCTGGTCTCCTGGGCGTGCTATACGTACTCAGCATAGGTGTGGTCGGACAGGGAACTCCGAGTCTGTTCAGCAGAGTATTATGGGCTAGCACAGCTTCCTCATCTGAAGCATCAGGAGGAGGAGGAATCACAATATTTGTTGGTGGTGGAACAGGTACCACAGGTGTAGGTACGCTCTTCCTGAGAACATAGATCCGTGTTGAAGCAGCAAACCGCAATGACTGGCCAACTTCTAGTTCAACTGGGTTGTCCTTGGTAAGGCGCTCATTTGCTACAAACGTTCCGTGAACCGATCCCTGGTCAATGACATATATACTGCATGTGAAAGAGGTGTGAGTTATGACGAGCTTGGAATGCTTGGGCCCAATATAGATGTAGCATGTTTCTCTACGTACTCTGATAGATTGGTCCTCACATAAATATCATTTCCATTCCACAGACGCTCGCGTCACCAATTGGTATGTCAGCATATACTGGATTCGGGTAGTGGACTTGACTTGGAATTCTAGTTGGTCGGGTGAGGATTTACATCCGTGTAGATGATAAAATAAGGATAGAGTAGTACTCGTTGACCTCATCAACGACGCGACTTCCATATTCAAAGCTTCTGGAAGATAATAGGAGCACACCAGAGAAAGGCAGTGGCTTCAAGAATGACGAATAGTGCTATATACGGCTCTATAGCACTAACGGAATGGCTGCCATCCTCGTCTGATAAAATTTCCATACTAGAGTTATTTTCAGGAGTTTGCAGTTTCAAGCTTATTTACCACCCTCTAGGTTTCACCAATGAAGAAGTCATCCACATATATAGATGACAGTCACAGACGCGATACTCATATTCTTACTCTCAAAGGACTAAAGGGTATAGAATAGATTAAATCAGCACCGAGACACGATCCAATGCAAATAAAGGGACTGAATGTAGAAACTTGGCGTTTGCAAATGTTGGCCATTTATTATGCCAGGAGATAAAAGTCCCGCCACAGACGTGCTAGGCTGGGAGGATTTGACACATCAAGACTCTGCGCATGATGGACTGCAGGGGATTTATCTGCCATTTACGTGGACAGCCCAGAGCAATTGAGTTTCAAGACCAAGGCAACGGTCTGCTGTCACACACATCTGGAGCCAAAGTTCAGTCTGCTCTTATTTCAGGGGTCTTTAAGCTTTAAAAGAAAGCATGACTTCGCTCCCGGTCTAACAGCTGAATAACGATGTCCAGCAGCGTTATAAACGTATGCTTCTCCGGAATTTCACTTTGCAGTGACAAGTTTAAAAGCGGAGGTCCTCTTCCCGATTCAAGCCCGTGACTCGGTTCTCGTTTGGGGTCCAATGAACGAGGTTCTTTCAAATAAACATCACGAGATTCACGACGGCATTGGGACGAAAAACATACCCGCCGTTCTTATGTTGAACAATAGCCGCGTGCTGTCGTGACACCGATGGATGATCCAAGACGATGTCGCACATAACACTCTGTCGCCCGAAAATGCAACGTCTTCTGTCCAGAGAAATTTTGTCCACCACCTCCCCGTCCTTGAGCACGTCCAGCCAATATACACCAGCTTTTGGATCCACAGCCCAATCTGGTGGTTGCCAATGCGATCCTCCAGCTCCGAGTGTCGAAGTTGCTACTGCAGGCACTGCAAGAGCAGATGCATCGGAGACCCTAGTAGCGGTAAAACCCTGCGGCTGCGGTGGGACTTGAAAGTCGGGTTGAGGCGGCACGAGGGTTGCAGAGGAGGCTTTGACAGAAAAAGGCTCGGCTGATTGCGCTTTTTTGAACCTCTCGAGTCCGAGTCTATTCATCATCCTTGGGAACCTTCGCCTTCGCTGGCCTACTCCAACGCCTGTGAGTGAATTTGCGAAACCCACGGAGTAATTCCTTGCATCACGATGCAGGCGGAGTTGGGTATGGTGGCAAATGATCAATCTTGCTGCTCCCACCACGGAACCGCTCCATAAGAAGGAACAGCCATCATTGTCTGTCTGTCCCTGACCTCTCTTGCGATTCGTTTGATTCAGGTGCTAAACCTATCGTGACCAGCAAAGCGCAGAACTTTTAGCGTCCTCGCTAAGAAACCTAATGCAACCTCATGCAAAGGCAGAGCAGAGAACATGGGGAAAGATGAATTGAAAGACATGTCATCGACTAAGAGCACATGCCCACGAGAGGAGGAACGCTCCATGTTCAGGACGGTTTCAAGACTACAAGCGATTCTAACCAACTAATCTCAGAAGAAGTAGTAGTCGGAACTCATCAGTCACTCTCCTCGACACTGCGACACGTCGCACTCATCAATCCAACAAGTGCACTCTGAGAATCCGGATGGAGGAAGAACAATTGCAGCAGCGAACTCAAAGAAGCAACCCACCCCGCACCGGGCCCCAACAGAGCTCTCCCTTCCTCCTCCCACGAGAAAAACTCTCACTCCTCTCCTCTCGATTTCCCCTCCTCCCACTTCTCCGTACCTCCGTCACACCGATCGTTGGGCACGGAAATTCCGAAGTCTGGCCCACGGCCGCAGCTGGATGCAATGCTCAAACATTCGCACCCACGCACGAGCGACAGGGCACCGCAACGAGGTCCGAATTCGACGATTTCAAGAAGGATCGGTGCTCAGAGAGCTGCCTGCCTGCTTCGCAAAAGCGCCCTGGCCACGACGCTCAGAGCAATCTTGCCTACAGTTCGCGGGGACACGTCATGCGCCGGCGCCATACACAGATTGTATTGCGCTGCTGGGCTCCTGTTTCGCGAGCATGTCGAATGCATGGAATAAAATCGCCCGCCCACGAACCATCGCCCTCCGTGACTCTAACCAGTGGTCCATAACCAGCATCGTGCCCCAGAACAGCTTTGTTATGTGGTCCGCAACGAGGCCATTAAAGCACTCTTCCTCTCATTTGCAAGTATTAAATCGCGCTGCAATCTTCTGGATATGCCCCGGTCTGCCAAATATACGGACTGTCCAATGGTCTCATTGAAATTGGTCCCTAGGACACATCATGGTAAATTTATATGTATATGTACTGTACTTGGCCGGCTATTTTCATCTCCATAGCCCAATCATAGCCAAGCCAATTTATTGGACCGAATGAGATCGCAAAAATATAGAAAGATCCCCTCAAATCATCTAAGGATGAAACCATCAGTAGCATGGGCTGACCACTGTGATGCTATAGCATCACATTGAACAATGTTTAGTATTACGTTTTTGATAAACTAATAACCTAAAGCAATGTTTTTGTTTTCCTACAATAACGCATGGGCGTCTCGTGTTTGAAATCTTAAATTAAACTCATGTGTCTCCACACAGTGTTAAATGTAACTAAGTTTAACCAAATCATAAATATGTTATGCCTCAGTTAGTTAGGGTTGAAAAATGTATATAATAATTTTTGATGTGATACATGAGAACAATTAGTTTTTCTTCCCTACTATTAGACCCCCTTGTAAAATTCAAGGCTTGGATGTCTTTACTAGTTTTTATATTCGTTTGATCTAATAAGGACACTTTAATATAGGGACTTGATTGACTTGATACAATAACGTTGATCTAGAGGTATATGAAAAATATTGAAACAAACTAACTGCATGTTAAGAAGTGTATTTTCTTATCAAGATCAATGAAACTATCTGTTGGTGTTAAAGACAGTTAAATGATGATTAAAATAAATTACTAGGATCGAATTCTAAATATTATAAACAAAAAATCACAAGAATTTGACATCGTGTATTTATGGATAATTTTTCTAAATATTTTACCATTTAATTTAGGTTATATGTCTTCATGTATAAAAATTGAAAGTTGAAATTATGGAATATTTGATGATAAAATCAAGAAATGCATTATACATGATGATACATCTGAGTAGAATTGGTCTGTTGGTCATTTTTAATTACAAAGATCAAAATATAGCTTCACAATAAATTTGATGATAATTATATCCGATCCTTATCTAAAATATTGATAATTTTTCAAAGCATTAGATAGTAACAAAATTGCTTATTAATTTTGGAAAAAAATTAAAAAGAAAAAATTCTAATGAAAAAAAAATTTTAATATAAATTCAAACATATAATCATTTGAAAATTTTATACATTGATAAATTAATTGAAAAGATAATTTATAACCAATTTTAACGATGAAAAATTTTGAATGTACAAAATTTCAATAAGCATTTTGGATATGTATTTAAAGAACACAATTTTTTTTAAGTATAATATCTGTTAACCTAATTATAGCTTAATACAGATATAGTTTACATATTAGAATACATAATTAGCTTAAATATTTCACTATCTGAACGATCGATCGACATATATATTTCTGTCGAATTCTAATTATTAAATTTATTTTCATATTTTCATATATATTTATATATTTTTTATTATAATATACTTATAAAATTTAGATATGAAATGAAAAACATCACAAGTTTTATTTTATGATCATGAATGTAAAAATCTACGTTTTTCTTAAAATAAAATCTGTTTTTTACATGAATGCACTTGATTGAAAACTAATAAAGCTGAGAAACATGATAATTTAAATCACTTGATAAATTTTCAATGTATTTAGTAAGCTGAAGTGAATTCCTTCAGCAGAATGTTTTATTGTATGTATCATGTTGAAATTCATTAACAAAGATTTTGACGTAAATTGACTTTCATTTTTGAATGCTAATATAAATGATAAAAATTCACATTTTTAAAATTAAAATTAAAATTCTGTTATTCAGTGTGTGTATATATATATAAATAAAAAGATGCAAGCAAATTTTTTGTTTGTAATGTCTATGCCTTGCAATGATATTGAGTATCTATAGAATTCAGTCAAATTCATTCATGTGACTGATTTAATGCCTTTGTTCTCGTCAATATACTTTGTTTCATCGACAGCAAAATTTGCCTCAAGTCAGGAACAGAGAATCGATATAAGTTTACGATGTACATTGGATTAAACTGCAGTGGCAGCACGGACAGTTAAAACCTCGACAAGACAACAAAAAGAGGAACATGGTTGGCAGTGCCGAATAAGCCCTCCTGTTCACAGAACTGCAGTACTCTTAAACCATGGTACTGTACTGTGCCCAAGGGACTGGTAGCTCAAAGCGGAAATCTCTGGTCGTCTGAAATAGGTTCGATTGCCACTGCCACCTTCGACGCGAGATCTGGGCCTTCAGTGATTCGGACAGAAGTTAATTTTGCCCGGCGAAATTCGTCGTTGAACTCATTTGTGCGTTTCTGAGCCTCACATTACTGGCAGTGAAGCGCAGTCGATCGTCATGGTACACTTCTCGCTCATGCTCGTTTCTCTCGTCTGATTGTTGACATTTCGTGCAAGAACCTCTTGAGTGACTGAGTTTGGTTCTGAGTATAAGAGTTGACAATTTAGAAACGTGCCCGATTGCGATAGAATTTCATCGCAAAAATCTGAGTGCCCAAAGTTCGAGTTTCGGTTTGTTTACATTATTGTACATTCATCATTGGCTACACTCTCCGTGATTTTGGTGTTTCCAGGTTCTTTTGGATGCGGATCCTTTTCTAAATGAGCTGACGAAGCTTTACGAGCACAATCGCGACTCTGGCACAGTCTGGGTCACTCTCAAACGATGTACGTTTTTCCGCCAAATTTGTTGCGCTTCTGTCACGACCCGAAATTGTGAATTGTGATCGTCAGCTTCAGTCATTTTTGCATTTTGTTAGTGATTGTAAGCTTGTGATGTCATTATGATCCCTTAAGATTGAGTGAGACTCTGCGGTTGGTGAACGAAGTGGCAGCATATCTCATAACCACAAATTATGTAATGTATCAAGCAATGTATACATCAGCGTTTGAAGATCAAGATGACAAGGATCCTCGAAGGTTTTGACTTTCGCTCTTGCATTACTGTTCCGACCTAAGAATAAATGGCCTGAGCTATTGTCTCCTACATCAGGTTACGGTTGAATGCCTGTACTCAGTGAATAATTTATTGTTCAACCCTATAACGGGAGACTCTGTTTGCTACACCTCAAAGATTTTAAGCATGTGGTTATTGTAGTTGCTCTTCTGACTTACTTATCTTCTTCCTTCTTACTCTGTTATTTTGAAAAGCAACTCTCAAACCACATGCTAAGCGGAAGGATGAAGACAGTGCCGAATCTTATCGCTGTTTAGTGAGAGCCACCGATGGGAAGAAAAAAATCAGTGCTTCGGTACGTGAGACCCTGTAGCCATTTCAAATTTCAGAGATTTCAGAGATGTGTTTAGGGGTTAAATTTTTTTGCTCCTTGCTTGGTCTTAGGTGCTTATGCAAACCATCGACTTAGAGAATATAAAGTTTTACTAGGCACGAAGGCAAGGGAAACAGACAAATGCAAAGACGTGATTCATGAGTAGCAGAATTAGCTACAGCCTTACTTCTATTTGTAGTCTAGTTGCTTCATGTTGAGAAACGTTATCATCGTCAATAGTTCTGAACAAGGCAAGGAACAACAATGGTTTTTGATAGCTGATAATATTTAGAATGAATGTGGGAGGTGACTTGAGGCGTTTTTCATGTTTTTGATAAGTCGATGTGATTCTTGACTTGGACTTACATCAGAGATGGATGTAACTGAAATCACTCGTATCTCTTGATGTTTCGTCTTGATCAGAAGAACTTTGAACTTCGCGTATAAGATTAGAAGAGTTATGGATTTGAGCTAGATAGTCTTTATTTTGTTGAATGGTAGGCAAAAGGCAACCTCTGATATTAAAAAGACAGAAACCCGTGAGATTGCATCACACAGGACCTTGGGACCTTATTTATTTTACTGGAGAGGATACTAGCCAAAAAAGCTGCAGGAGGTAATGGGCAAGTTTTGACAAATCTACCAATATGTCTCCAAATGTTCGTTTTATGTCAGTAGAGGTAACAAGCAGGTCTGATGAGCTCTCTTCTTTTGTTATTGTAGTTGACACTGAAAGATCATCATCGATTTCAAATGGCTTATGCGACTGTTTTGAAGGCCCACATGGATGCTCTCAAGAAAAGAGAAAAGAAGGACAAGAAGGAGAAGAAGCCTGCAGCAGTTACGAAATCTTGATCCAAGTAAAGGTGTAATGACGGGGCAGATATCCTCTATTACAAAATTTACATTCGAGCTTGTTGACAAGAAGCCAATTCTCAGAAACTTAGTTAGAGATAGTTCTATTCATCCGTAGTAAGTCGGCATTCAACAAAGTGCAGGTCCAAAAAGTTGTGACACCCATGGTAATTTTTTAGGTCCCAACTGGTTTGTAGCTAATAGAAAAAAGCTGGGGCGAAGAAGTGTGTTGGCGTTGTTTCTTCTTGTTAACCAGCAATAGTTAGAATGATCAACGCGTCACCTAGTACAGTGTGCATTGAAGAGAGATTTGGTTAGCTCGTGAGCATCGTATGGCATCGAGCTCCAAATAGTCCGTCAGGAGCAAGTTAATGAACATATGTTATCATCAAAAGAAGTTTCTACATGACCATATTCAGCTGAACTCTTTGTTGGTACTTGCCCGTCATACTTTAATGTTCAACTGTTGCAAATTGAAATAGAGGGGGGAGAAGAAACAGTTAGGATCAAATGAAGAGGGAAGATTTGTCCTAAAACTAAGAGATCAGTAGAATGTCTCGCCATTAGTGGGGCTTCTTTGAAGCTTTTCATGTCAACCATGAACCGTGTCGCTTAGCCAAGTTTGTTTGCACCAAAAGAAGTAACTGGAAGAAGCTTCTTCCAGCTTCTATGTGTTGTGTACTTCGGTTAGCCCCGGTATATTGTACCACCATCGTTGGTAGTAAGATATTGCACGGAGTATATGACCGGTGTTGCACGCAACCAGTCAGTCAAATTCATGAAGACTTTGACTGAGTGGTTAACTTTGACAGGGAATTTATGGTTGATTACGGAGTATCCCTTACAAAGTGCAGATTCGTTGAGTAACCTTAGTTATTTAGAAGTTGTAGTACCTCAGTTAAACTTCAAAGGAGGTTGAAAGTTTGTGGAATTGGGCAGTTTTTAAAGAGACTAGAAACATTGCTCGAAAGAATTCCCCATCCCCATGAGATGCACGGTGGACCCTTGTGTCCAATGCTGGTGTCCATATGTAAAGTGATGAATGCAACAATCATGTGTGATATGTAGCAATATGTATATTCAACTTCAATGCATGCAACTCATTTCATGGAAAGATTTCGAAACGTTGTCTTTAAAACATGAAGAATATGCTGTATCCTAACCATCGTTCGAATCTGATTTTCAATTTACAAGTTGTAACCGACCTTCTGTTAAGCTTTCTAATTTGTGAAACCACCTAACGAAAGTACTAAAAGTCTCTTGAACCATTTAAGAAATTAACTGTTCATTGAAAGGCAACATTGATTGTGAGACTAGGCTACGATGAGGAATTTTTATCTTCATCTACCTCATAAAAATTAACGCTGAGTGGAGTTTTTGCTTCACCTGTTCATCTCACTTGATATGCGAATTTATTTCATAAGTGAGAAGAACGAAATATAACTGAAATGAATGATGAGAAGTCACGGAATTGATCAAAAGTTTAAGATTTGTTGTTTTGGTAATCGTATAAAGTTATCATGCATAGCTGGATCCATAAAGTGTTTTAATTAATTTTTTTGCGTAATTAAAACATATAAAACATCATCATAGTAATGTTAGATACACAAAAATTTGACTTTAGAGTTGAAGATTTGAAAAATCGCTATTAATGTATACTGCACGAGCCATTTTAGTCAAAACGAGTTGAATTAGATAATGAATCATATATTCAGACAATCAACATCTGATATTATCAACTTAGAATGTTTAAAATACTTAGATATATATATTACATGTAAATGTACTAAAAAGCATATCCGAGTGAAGGATAATTTCGCATAAAGTATTTTTCTAACAATTTTTACTTTTATTGAGACAGCTTCATTATATCTTTATGTTTTTTATAATCTATTTTTTGGTTTGGATCATTTATACTTTTGTATACTTCTAATAATGAAGCTTAATTTGAATATTTAGAATACTTATGTATATAACAATTTATAAATTGCCAAATCAACGAATGTTTTTGATTTTGATAATTTAAAAATTTACTTTATGTTAAATATTTGATTACTATTTATGGTATGATTTTTTTTCCAAATAGGAAATTTATTGTTAGTGTAATGTAAGATCATATTATAATTGTTTGAAAATTTCAGTACAAAAAATGATAAAATTGATAATGTATCTTCAATGCAAGGTTGAAGTTCTATTCCAAACATCAAATAAAACGTTGATATACATAGAAAATTTTTAAAAAAATTGATGAATTTTACAGAAAGAAAATATAATTGAAATATATTTATTTTAAGAATGAAATTTTATTATAACCTTGATATATTTCTTTAAGTTGCGTTTTCTTTGAAGTTACCATAGATGGTACAAAGTTTAATCATATTTTTTCAAAGCGTTTTGAATGTAAATGTAAAACCCGAGACTCAAGGCAATCCATCAACGTGATACACACCAACATATAACTTGGTTCATCGTCAAGAGAACAACATCGTGATATTGTTCTGATTCTAGTAATACATAGACCTGGGTATATGTACCCAACACTGGTGACCAACCTAGCTATAAATAGCTAGGACATGAGGTTATTACTTCACTGGAGTTACCTCAACATTGAAATCATGATAACTAAATATAACAACAATTTAATTTCAAATTTTGAAACTTTTAGATAGTGACAATTCTAGTTTTAACCTACCGCATACTTGTTTAATGGCTTTCAACTGAGCCGCGGAACGGACGCGACTCACAGATAATCCCACGTTACTAGCAATAAGAGACTTCTTAAAATTGGAAAGTGGTTCATAAGGAACAAGGGGTGGGACGAAGTCAAAAACCGTCGCCAAAAAGATTCCAAAAGGATTTGAGAAACTTCTAAGTATACTTTGACATTAAGTTGGTTCATTAGTATGATAAATATGATACAATTTTTTGCTTTTTATTCATATTATATATGAATGTGAGATACAATGAGAATTGAGAGATATTACAAGAACTAAAAAAAGAAAAATAGTCTTTGCTTGTCTATGAATTTTGATTTAACCTTCTTGTATCATGTTTATTAATCTTGACTTGGAATGAGAAGTAAATTGTACATTTGTTGAATACAAGGTAATCTTGCACGCAATCATATAAACTTGTATGTATGGCTACTTCTTAAAATTATTGCTTGATATTGAATTGAAAAATAATGGATTTTTAGAAATACATATATTACATTTTTTGCAATTTTTTAAAATATTGATTGCTCTTTTCATTCAAGATACTAATACTAATACTAATTCTTATACGATATGGTGATGAACAAGGTGTCTCAAGTCTACCTAAATTATTATTTATAAACGCTTTGAGATTAAATATAAATATTTATAGGTGAATAAAAATCTATTAATTAATGCTAGGAATACATATCGCGGATTGATTTTAACAATCGGATTAGATTCACTGGAGTTCCATCTTAGAAACCTCTTATTTGATCTTTTCCTTAGGCCAAGTTTCTCAAATCCTTTTGGAATCTTTTTGGGGACGGTTTTTGACTTCGCCCCACCCCTTGTTCCTTATGAACCACTTTCCAATTTTAAAAAGTCTCTTATCGTGGAAGAAGACTTGCTAGTAACGTGGAATTATCTGTGAGTCGCGTCCGTCCCGCGGCTCAGTTGAAAGCCATTAAACAAGTATGCGGTAGGTTAAAACTAGAATTGTCACAATATCGTGAAGTAGCCGCTTTGGCTCAATTTGGTTTAGACCTTTGCGTGACTCAACTTCTTGACTTGTGGACACGTCGCACTTTGGGGTCTTTTCCATGGCTTGTGTTTTTCAGCCTTTTGACCCTTTGGATCCTCCGGGCTTTACGATTTATTTTATTAATAAGAAATCTACCTAGACAAATGGCCTTATAATGCATTCGTTTTAATTCATATTTAGCCACAAGCAATCTACATTTGTGATCTCGTATAATTTGATTTGACTTATGACCGAACCTCTTTTTGCAGAAACCCCCCACCGGTCAACAAAAGGGATAATATGCTAATATCTCGAAAATAAGGAAAAAGGATAATATTCTCAAACTTCTATTGGCTGATTCCCAAAGAGTTAGGTAATGAGCTCCATGCAGTTCCCACGTCAATTCTAAACCTTGTTGCCTTTTCACTTCGACAGGAATCACACCAGCGCGCGTTTCCCCACTTTTTCCACGGGTGAACTGGGTAACCAGTTGACAAGTTATATATATATATATATATATATATATAATATTATATTCTCCTCAATCTGAACATGAGAATTGTGATTTTGATTCTAATAACTGGTCTGGAAGTAAAACGCTGTATTCTGTCTCCGGCGTATCGCTCCTCTCTTCTGTCACTGTATCGAATTCACAATTTTGTTAAGAGTCATTGAGACAGACAACAAATTTAGAAGTATCCACTGGACTCGGCATTGGACCGACGTGCGCAGGTCCTGCTCCCGCTCCATCTGCCGGGGTTCCATGGCCAGCCTGGGCCCTGTATACCCGAGTGACTACCGTGACACCAACCCCTGCATGACCACAACGTTCGCCACGCCCAAGCTCAGGGGGCTAGGCCAGGCCCTAGTTACCCGTTCCATCGTTGTAACGCTTGATGGAGTCGTCCCATTAATTCTCTCTTGACTTGGCCCCAATCTCTGGGTCCGTCATGAGAACTGTTGGCACAGTGCGCAGACTCCTCGGCTCCGCTTGCAGCAGGGCTCAAGGACTCAGGGACCCGGCAAGTCGCTCAGACGACCTTCAGAGCCGCAGATTGTGAATCCGCCGGAGTCTCAAGGTCGCTTCGTCAGAAGCGACGCCTCGACGACAAAGGAATGTCGTCCAATTAGCACAGCGATGTTCGCCAAGTTACCTCATAATGAGTATGCCAATCGAACGAGTCCGGAAGATCCACCTCTTTGCACACTGTGCAAGGTTGTAACAAAATGCCGAGGTTCTGTCCGTCGCCGATACTGATGTTCGAATCCTTTGCCGCGTGGAAGACGTAGGCGAGATGGACGCGCCCGTCTGAGTAAGATATTCTCGGTTGCTGCTTCGGATCTCACACGACGATGCCTAAATGGTCGCCCACTGCAGTCTGAAGATTCTTGCCCATAACGACATCCCCGAGATATTACAGTGGAAAGGTTGGAACATATCCTTGTCACCTTGTGCTGACGGGAGGAGTAAGATGAGTAGACAACACTCTTAGCGAAATTCCAACAACTTTAGTGAGACAAGGATAATATCTTATGTTCAAAAATAATGTTAGTGGATGTTATGGCAGGAGCTACACCGATTGGAGCGCAAGTTGATCTCATGTTATCAACGAGAACAGTTGGGTAGAGGCCGAGAAGTAAATGAAAAGCATAGAAAGAAGTACATGGAGAGCAGACTGCACAGATTCAAGCTGCAATTAGAGTTGCAGCTGGATATTCCTAGTTGCTCAAAAGTTTCCTCGCTGGATAGAGAACCTCTGATTAAGCCAGCTATATCCTACACGGGTTATAGGCGCATCAGATTATTGTACTCAGTCAGTTTCATTCCCGAAATGTTGAGGAAGGACAGAAGCTGAGGCCACATGTTGCATTGAGAAAATTTATATATGCTTATAGATGATTCAACTCGAAGTTCTTATATTTAGAGAGATGGCTAGAAACGAAAGCGGAAGTCGTCAACCAAAGGCTTTAGCCAAATGATCACAGGGTCGGAGTGCCCACTCTCCCTTTGTCGAACTTGTCCCTGCCCTAGAATGCTTATACTTTGGCAAAGTGGGTGGACTCTTGAGTCGCTGGGTGGATGCTTTGACCTGATCACGCAGCGTGTGCTCGCAGCCTCGAGCGGTTAGGATTTACCGGTTTCAGTTGACTATTCAATATCAAATTTTGTGCGATAGTTATCCGCTAGTTAAATTAATATTTTCTTAGTTTTAAAGACATAAGACGATGTTGCTTCTTCATTCTGATTGGTTGTGCATTAGTTTCTCACACCGCTCCCGTGAGCCAGTGAGGGGTTCGTTTGCCCCACATAAACTGGGGTATGACAGCAGGATCTGCTGTGGATCTCCAAACAGCTCAAATTTCGCAAATGCTTGGAAACACAAGGCAAGATTTGTTAATAGACAAAAACTGTAAGACACAAATCGCAGTCTTCGTTTATTGCTCTGCTGTAGAATGGGACTAGCGGGCCAAAAAATATGTTAACATGTCAAAGAGCTCTGGACCACTACAGCAACCACTGGTATAACTAAAGTTTTCGAGGAAGCTGTAACTTCCTTATATAATGAAAATTGATCGAATCTAAGGCCTTCTCAGTCAGATACAAACTCTGCAAAGCATCCTCCGCTCTTGGGAGCAAAAAGCATATCGACTGGAATAATTCAAGTACTTGTGGTGTCACTACGGTCCCGGAGGTTCTAGCCTTGTGGCGCTTTGCATTGGACCTGTGCCGCGTGTCTAGTGTTAGAGACTTTTAGGCTGCAGAGTGAAGTGGATTCTTGAACAATGCAGGCAGTTCTTCACGGGTTCTTGAATCTCAAAGAATCACTCATGCCAGAGGGACTGATTCTTCACGACTTTGCCTTCGTCCATGAATTCCTGCGAATTCGGTTCGCCATATGAAAAACTCAGCGCATAACAGAACCTCAGTAGGCTGTCTTCCTCTGACTATCAGAAGACAGTTTCTCTCTACTGGCTGTCTGAAGCTCCAAGTTACCATAGGCAGCTCCAAATTACACAAGAGAGCTGCGTTCTACTGGGCAGAAGTTTCTTAAAACTGCACCCAAAGCATCCGATGGTTCGTGTCACGAGCACGTCATAAAAACTGAAATCAGTCACAACGCAGGCAGTACTGCAGCGATCGCCTCATCTCGATCGCAAGCCGACTCCCTGCAGCCTGAGTCGTCAAGTGCATAGACACCACCCCCTTGAAGGATTGAACCGTGTGCGAGGGAGTGCTGACGTAGATCTGGTATTCCAGTAGCTAAGAATGTCAAGGAAAATTGGATAGGCTTTCAACCAAGCCTTGATCTCATCATCGCAGAACAAATGCTCGTAGCTTGTCGTCAAAGCTCTATACATAGTGCAACAACTCAAATAGCAGAAATCACGCTCGGTGTTCTCCATGTCAGGACTCGAAGTGATCAGCGATTTGGTCAGATGTATGACAGGAGATTGAGGTACACTGCTATGTATAAAGTGATCGAGAACACAGCCAGAACGTGTTGCCAGAACATTAATGCCGCAGCTTCGGATTCGCCGTATCCTCTCAAGCTTGCCATAGCGCCGCACAGAATGGCCGTGGGCATGGTGTAGTGCAGGAACAGGACGAACTTGAACATCTGGTCTCCGGCTGGGACGAATCCCATGTTCGTCGCTCCTTGGACGACGCCAATCCCGATTATGGGCAACACGAGCAAACGTGCGACACAGACTCCGATGGTTGTTTTGAGCCCGAGCTCCGATTTTCCAGGCCCTCCAGAGAGAGTTCCTCCCAGAACCAGCATGATGCACGGCACCATGGCCAGCGCAAGAATGTCGAGACTGTCATCGAGAAACCCGAGAGGGGCATCAGCTCCGAACAGCACTGCCTTGGATTTCGGGAACAATCCCACAGCGATGGCCAGAAGAGACGCAATTGTGGGAGGTTGCAGAATGTGCTCGAGCGGAGTTCGCTTCGCTACCCGTCGGAGTCTCCTCACCATCCTGGGCTCTTTCATGCAGGCGGATTTCTTCGCCACAACCTCATCATCGTCAGACACGGTCGAGACCTGGGAAGTCATCGATACTCCACGCCAAATCTGCTTCAGAATGGGCGTGCGGAAATTCTCGTTGTGGGCCGCTCGCAGACCGGGCCATTCAGCCTCCAGCACGGAAGGATGTTCGGCCCTGGCAATCCCCTGTTCGGAATCCACTGCACCAATTTCGTCGGTCAGCAACAACTGATTCTCATCGTCCGCCCCATGACCACCAACCAAAACGGGAAGCTCGTCGTACTCCGGCGGCTCAAGCATATGATACACAAAGGTGTACACAATAATCACCGCAACCCAAGTGGAAAAAGCAACATAAGCAACTCCAACCTGATTACAATTCGTTCCAAAAGGTGCATTCTTGCTGTGGCAAATGGCGCCTATGATTGCGAGGGGGATGTTTCCAGTGTTGCCCACGCCTGTCATTACTATGACGAACCGGAAAAATCGTGGGGGAGGTCGGCACATTACGGCAACAAGGAAGCCCACAAAGCACCCGATGATGGTGCTGAGAATTACGTTCACCGGTATGAACCACCAGTTCAGCATGTTCTCGAAGGTTACCATGGCGCCGAGCTCGGTGAAAATCAGGCAAGGCAGGAAGAGCGCGAACACGAGCTTGCTCAGGAGCTTGGTGGTGAGGGGCTTGATTAGGTCGATCTTGGGATGAGCCAAGATCGTACCCAATGCTCCCATGCACAGAACCTTCATCACGGGCACCACCGCCAGCTCTGCAATCAATTCTTTCTCTTTCTCGAACGAGCTCTCCACCTTCATCATGAAATTCATGCCCCTCTCGAAGCTCAGAGGCTCCAAGAACAAGGACCCGTTCCCCGCCATGATCAGCGAAATGTGCTAGCCTGCGCGGCTGGACTATCTGCTCTAACCGATTCGAACTGCTCACCCGGCCTCCTACGCTACAGAATTCGATTGGCGCAGGTCGTGTCTGTCTATGCTCTGATCTGATCAGCTGCTACCGGACGCTAAACTCGAAGCTCGATGCCAGGATCCCGCCTGTCTAAAACTGCTCCGCCTTCCTGCGATTGAATCCGCAATCCTCCTCCTACCGATTAGTCGACCAAAATTGGGCTCGCAAACGCTGATCGCCTAAAGTTTTTTTTACTCAAAATCGGCAATGCGAAGTGAAGCAGCATGCGCGACCGTCTCACTCGCTCCAGACGCTCTGGCCTGAAGCCGATTCCCGCCGCAGCTCAGTCCCACAGAGCAGCGAAGCACGTCGCCTGAGCAGCGTGGAGAAACGCATGCAGCAGCTGGGAACGCGCGAGAGGTATAGAGCGCACAAGAAGCCCCGCCTCCGCCTGCTTCCTTCTTCACCTTTCGCCCTTCACCCTTCGCCCTTCAGCGTCTGCGACTGACGCCGATGATGCCCGCACAGGCAGCAATCCGCATTACGTACAGAATCTATGATTCTCGGATGTCTGTGCACCGTTGTTCCTCCCTGGGACTGTGACAAAAGCGTGAACAATCAAATTCTCCCGATCCTTCGCGGGCGCAGCAGCCGAGACCCACGCTCGTCCCTCGCTCGCTCGCTCGCTCCTCTGTCCTCGATCGCTAGCTCGCGGCTCTGCCTTCCTGTCCGGTCCTTTCCTTTTCTGCTTCTGTTTCTGCAATTAAAGAGCTCTTTTTTATGCGGCTTCCCCACAACAAACAGTTGATCGCGTCGTAAGATAACTCCCCGCGGCTGCCTGTCTTCATGCACTCGGTCTCGTACTTGGACACCGCTCTCGTCGGGCGAGAGGCCAGTGACTCGGACCCGCGCTGCTCTGTCTACTCGCGCTCGTGGTGACAGGTGCTCGGCCGGATCGGTTCGTGAAGCTCCTCCTCCCCAAGAGAATAAACACAACGACAAAAGAGGACGATCTTCTCGTCAGTCGCCGCTTTTATTCTCCCGCTCGCGCTTCCGCCTCCGGCCTCCGTCCTCTTCCCGGCCTGCGCCGCGGCCCGTTCCGTTCCGCGGCCTGAATGCGGCCCCCGCCGGGCGCCCCCCCGCTGCCCCCAAGCTCTCCTCATCCTCGCCAACAGTCGCTGCTGCCTTCTCTCCCCCGATCCTCGTCGCCACCTCCTCCCGAGTTCCGGAGCCCTATAGGGCACATTTCAGTATATTATATATTTCAGTTAATTGGCGGTGTTCGACCACCCATCCGAGCCTTGCTGGTGGCACCATGTGATTGCGGTCAGCTCCCGGGTGCGCTGTGGGTGGAGGGCTTCTTTGGCCCACGGTCCTCTCCGCCACGGACTGTGGATGGATGCCTGCTTGCTTCCAGGTCCTCGTGTTGATGCTCCAAATCATCATCTATTTGGAGAATGATGGCGTTTGTGCGTGGGCTCGTGTCCGAGTGGATCTCCGATCATAGCATGTTGGCGACCCTCTCCTCCACTGTGTGAACGGTTTTGATGAGCGAGTTTGATGAATGTTTGCTAACTTTGGACCTCATTGGGTTCCTTTCTGAGCTGGAGCTGTCGTTTGTTTCATGCCATTTTCGACATTAGTTTACTCGCTTATGGTTCTAGCTCGGCTATATTTTTGGGAGGCTTGGGGGCAGCTCTTACAACTCCCATTGGAACATCTCCCAGTAGCGGTAGAGTTCCCCAAAATAATTTCAGACCCCTTTGTCAGCGTCCGTTGTATGCATGAGATTTCGACTGTGGTATTTGTGTCTCCGTCTTCATATTGTTCTGCAGGGAAACTGGAATGTGGCCTATAGAATGTTCAAAAGTCGGAGACCCACCGCCATCGACATGATACTATACTAATTAGTCTCAACATAATTAAACTGTTGAAGATGGATCTGCTGGGTAGTAATTATAATCTACCAATCAAGTATGAATAGTTCGATCTTTCTTCGTATCTATTGTTGAGCAGCACGAGAGCTCTAAGAGGAAAGCTCTCCTGGGACTATAGCTCGCAATAATAAAGGCAAAAATAGAACAATAGTCGCTTAGGACATTCGAAGAGGCTAGGGTGAAGAATGATTGAAACCAAATTCATGTCCAAAGACAGACCTTGTCAACGTTTTACACTGTATTGATGCTTGACTCATTAGTTCAAATCAGCTCTTAAAGAGTATTTTGATTCGTAACAAAAGTCCATGGGAAAATAATGGGGCAGATTCGTATATGCTTATCTAATGTCTAGTCGTTCAATGCAAATATCCTATAAACTGCAACCTCCAACAATGTTAGGTGTAAAGATTGTGTACTCCATTACTCTATCAACTCTATCCTCCAATGTTTCCATACATCTATAACATATTTCATGAATTTTGTAATAGTTACTTTAGTAGGTAGATAGTCAGATGTAGCCGATTATACAGTTAGTGTCGTTTGCACTAGAACTGCAGTCAAAGTCGACAGTGCTATCAGGAGACATATAGCTCAGGATAGAGTTTTAAGTAGGATCACTGATACTTATGTTTTTGAAGTTATTCAGTACAATGTGCGGTGCAGTTACGCGCACAGCCCACGAGCATCCCAACTTATTCCATCTTGCGACCCAAAATTGTGTTCTAGAAGCTAGATTTTATTGCATAGCACGATATAGTCTTGCTCACTCCCTCACTCACTAACATGTGGAAAAGTCAATGTCCACACCTTTATGAAGATATTGAACAATATTACAAAAGTTATGAAGATATTGAACAATATTACAAAAGTAATAAAGATATGAAAAAAATGCATACCTTATGTTAGGAGAAGTAGTCTGTTTTATTTCGCTCCCTAGCTATTCATGAGGATGTGTAATGAAACCTTTAAAAATATTTTTGTTTAAATTGAGGATCCCATACATTTTCAAAAAAAGTACAGATTTATCCTAAACCAGATATACCACGAGGCATTCCCACGCTTCAACATGTGATAGCTCATCTCCTTGTGGCACACCAATCATCACATAGTGTGTAAGTATCATGTGCGCTTCAAATAGGGCAATAAGTTCAATGGATTTTGAGCATATAAGGTAGTTTCTACTTTACAACTGAGTAACGAAAATCTAGATTGGTGGACCCAATCGAAGCATAATTTCCCTCTCCTGAAAAGTTAGTTACTGCAAAATTTTTAACCTGTAATCTAAAGGTTACTTGTACATTCATTACAGCAAAAAAAAAAAAAAAAAAAAAGTAGAAACCATAAAAAATTCCCACGAGCTACTAGGGATGAAACTAAAGAAAAAAATGGGATACTCCAATACCGTCATAATGACAAAATTTCTTCTTCAAGAAATTCTATTTCAATTTTTCAGGGCTAAATGGTTCACGAACTACATGCCCATATGAAGACTTATGTGATTTGACTCTTATGAATATTATGAACTAGCGGTCTCATTTACAGCAAGGGATACAAAGCGACTAATATATGGTATTAATATGCTTACGAAACTATACCAGTTTTACCAATTTCGTCAGATGACTAATCAACACTTATTGGAAATGTGATAAACAAATTGCTTCACAAATGACTGTCCTTTGTGGGATGAATCTTTCACAACCTAGGCTATTGGAATGAGCTTCGCTATTTTTGGGATAACCAACAAGGATGCAACTACTAACCCGTAGTGGAGAAAGGAATATTCACCTGCAATCCAATCTTGCTTGGAGAAGCATCGAGCTTGTATGGCCAAGAGAATAATTGTTCATACCCCACACAAGAATTCTTTACTCCTACATTAGCATTGTACATGCTATTATTGTAGGAGTGAGACTAACATATGGAATTGCTCATATGTTTCAGGAATTCGAAACATGTATTTCTGCTGGTAGGATGTCTCAAGAAAGCAAGGGTCAAAGACAGCGTCTCTTAGGTCATTGTCTTCGAGGAACCTCACTCAGACTTTCTATTTATGATCCCATGATTCCTGATAACCCCATGCTTAACTGATTGGAAAGAATATGGTTTGCATTATGGTGAGATCCACTTTGCTTCTCATTATATTGTTGTTAAATCGATTCACAGAGCGCTCATGTGACCAGCTAGGAGGAAACATTGTGTATGGATTTAGTCAAGGAAGATACACTTGGCGAACATTTTTTTAGCTGAACAGTCATCCGTGACTTGAGGACGAAAGGATAGGTCCAGGTTGCAAATCATCACATACATCACTCTCACCTAGTCACATTGTCATGTACATGTTCAATTCGTTATAGAATTAACTTCCCTTTCAATTATGAATGTATAGACATATATAATTGAGCGTGAAGTAACTTCTATAACGAAGTACGTATATTCATCGAGCCGATTCTTACAGGGCGAGTATGGAAGATAACCAACCTTTGTTTCAGCCTATTCGCATACAGTACTATACACAAAAGTGTAATCTTAAGGAGTTTTCCACATTACAGGATGTTTAAAACACTTTTTAGAAAGGAACATGTATTTGCTAAGAAAAATTCCATTGATAATTTGGCCTTGCATAAGTGAACTACAGGATCTAATTTTCATAGAATTTAAAGTGTTTGAGAGTTAAAATGAAATCAATGACTTGTAATGTATTTTTCAACCTTTTGACCCTTTGGTTCTGTTTACTACTTACCATAGCTATCTTCTCGATACATAAGATATTGAGAACGTAATTACTATAAATAGTCTCTCATATATATATATATATATATATTTTAGAGAGAGAGAGAGATTTATCTAAGAAGATTTGCACTATGACAATTTAATTCTTCACGTTTACACTCCAATTGTAATCTCTATTTTTTTTAATTAGTATAGACAATGACATAGCTAAAAAAATACACTTATTTGTCTCTTATTTTGCATATTTTATTATTGAATTATATTTTTCCCATAAGAAGGTTACTTTTTGAACCTGTTATCACATTATTACAAGAGTCAAGTTAAAGAGTTGAAACTTATAACTTCTTGACAGTTTGTTGCATGGGCGGAATGGGACTAAATTTTAATGAAGGAATGTATGAAATATAAGTTAGATCCAAAATTGAAATATGAAGAAATCAGTTTATATTTGAGAACAGTTGAAAACTACTTTCAAATGACAGTAGGTTTGAGGAATTTGAAAGAAAAAATGATGGGCTTTACAGTTTCAGGATTCTTTCAAGCAAGTCAAAATGAACCTTCGTCAAAGAAACAATTTTAAAAATCCTTATCATGATTTTTTTAATGCAGTAACATTGATCAATATTTTTAGAAAATTATCTGATAATTTTATTGTCTAAAATAGACGTTTAAATAAAGATAATATTTATACATAGATACAAAATTACAATTTTGAAAATATTTTTGAAATTAAATATATTTAATACCTTCTAAAAATTCTGTCTTACGTATGCTATATCGGGCAACTTGACATTTGATCATTGGAGCTAAAATGCAGTTATTCATACAAATCATGTGCATCATAATATAAAACAGCCATTCAAATTCGAATATTGCTCTATATACTCTGATTTTAATTTTCAAAGATAATCTTAATGATATTTTGGTTTGGTAAATCTAAGATGTATTGATATATCGATTTCGAAAAATTTAATTTGTTTAATTATCCTGTTTGAAATTTTTGTAATGTGCCTCCAGAGAATTTTTTAAAATTAAATTTAAGTTAACTATGGATTTAAAATGAACTAAATTATCTTTTTGTTAAATAATTAATTAATAATATAAATATAAATTTAAGGCAATAGAAAAATAAAAGAGAGGATAAGTATCAAGAATAATTTTTTCATCTTTCATAAATAGATAAATGAATATTTTCATGAAATCACTTAAATCACAGAATATTTTTGGATTTGTAAAAAAAATTCAAGGATAGTAAATTTTTAAAATTTTAATCATCATTTGTATATTGATATAAATCATGGATGAATAGCGCGCATAAAAATAAAGTTATTATCACTGAAAAAATATTTTTTACATTCAAATTTAAATATAAATTGTTAAAATTTGTAACTGGCTTGTGAATACACTAATTTCAGTTCGTTTAGAAAGGGTTGACATTAATTGTTAGAATTTTATTATAAATATATACCTTATGAAATAGAATTTAAAATGTATGAG